GGCCTTAAAAGATCCTCTGGTTCCCTAAAATATTACAAATCTAATTCTGCACCTTTGCCTAATTTAACATTTTTGGATCGAGGAGTATGCAAATGAAACCAGCGTGCATCTCTGCAGCTCACCTGGCTGCTGCTTCTCACCCTTAACTCTGTTTAAACATTCATCCCCACCATCGTAAAGCAAACGAACGCAAAGCTTGTTAACCATCACAACTTCCCCTCATGCAATTTGCCATCTTGTTTTATTAAGACTGTTGCTGTACTTTAAAGTTGCTAAGCTGAAGCCTTCGCTGATTATATATTTTAGTTATAGAAGCAGCTTATTTGCATAGTTTGGTTTGTAGCAGATAAGATCTAAGACACATCCTCATTTAAATGTTCGGTAGGCTTTTTCATCTGCAGGCTCTCAGGGCAGAATTTATCTACAAGTACCATCTTTCCAGGCTTTAATTGGATGGTTGGAAAAATTTTGAAGTGATGTTCTGTTAAGAGGTTATAGTCAGTCGATACCTGCGGCCTCTTAGCCTCTTCTTTAAGTGTAAATCCAGATGAATTGGTCCCAAAGGATGAAGCTTACCAGTTAGTCTGGGAGGGAACCAAAACCAAAGCATGTGCTTGTACCTTCTTAATTCAACTCCTAAAACACTTCATTGTGGTTTATTTATGCTCTTTTTTATGAGCCCACAAGAAGTGATTACATTTATTTTCAGCAGTTATTTTTACAGAGGCTGATGCTTATTTATTTTGGTAATGGAGGTAGGGGGCGGTGCGCCACCAATTACCTTTCGGGATGAAGCACATACTGAGCACCACGGATTGTTACAAAGTCATCAGCATAGTGCAAGCACCTATCTGCTGTTGCTACCTCCCCATCCAGGAGAAGTTGTTTCTGCAAGTCAATGACTCATTGCAATCTGCTGGGTTTCCTTAGATAGAAAACCGTTCTGACTGTGTTATTTGATTGAAAAGACTAGGCATAATGACATAATGATGCAATGTTAGAAGCAGACATATTAAAAGGGGGGATTTACTGACCAATGTTTGTGCTTTAGTGCTGATATCAGGTTTCTATGAAGGTTTCACCTGCCAACATGGAATGGGACTAAATTAGATTTCTTCTGAGGAAACAGATAAAAAAGAGCAGGAGCAGAGGGGACGCAGCCCTGCATGTATGATAAAGTAGTTTCTGTACGATGGGACTTTTCTGCAATTTTTAAACCAAAACAAATTACATAGATGCTATTTTAAACTTAGGTTAGCAATAAAAATGGCTAGCATTATGAAAACACCAGCACATATGCGTATTTTGTTGGAAATGTAGATTTTTACTTTTGGATGAAATTACAAGTTTAGTAGAATAAAAGAGATTTACACTGGTGTGCCTCATTCAGACTTCCTATTTTCTGCTAAAATCGTTACCATTTTAAAGTTTTAATTAACATTAGAGCTGCCTAAAATAGTAAAAAAAAAAAAAAAAAAGAAAAACAGGATCAAACCTACATCTCTCCTTCTGCAAAATGACTACTTTCCCCATTGAGCCACTGAAGCCTCTACATAGAGACCTTAACAGCGTACTATAAAAAGCTAAAACTAGTAACATTTACCACAGTGTTTTGTTTTTTATGTGACCTGGTATGGTTTGCCCATGGAACATTCATTGAAGGGAAAATATGCAGATAGTTTATTGGATATAAACGTTGGTTGGCTGGTCACTATTCAGGGCTGATCCATCTAAACATTTATTAGGTCCCCCCATATGGATCAATGACTAAAATATAAAGTGTATCTGTGTGCGGTAGAGCATATGCATAATGGATGCACTCTGTTGCACGTTTGTGCTATACCGGAGATCTTCAACAGGGGGTCCGCGATCCATAAGGGGGCCAAGAGGATAATGCATGGGGGCCCAGAAAGTTTTGGTTAATTCCATTTTTTATATTCCCCCCTACAATTTTTTCCCTTAAATGAAATATCTTTAAATACACATTAATATTAATTCAGCACACTGTAGTAAACAGATAAATGGAGGCAGAAGATGTATTTCAGTCATCAATGAACACATTTCGCAACACACAGGAGCTCTTTAAAGCTGGACACTGTTTCATTCACAACACCTGTCCCATCAACCAGGAATCAGAATCAGAAACACTTTAATAATCTCAGGGTGAAATTACTTTCTTTACATTACTCCATATGTAATACAGTGACTATAGGAGCTGTTTGATTTAACACAATTTCATACAATATATATATTTAGGGGGTCCCCGCTCCATCTCACCATCTGTTTGGGGTCCTTGGCCTGGAAAACGTTAAAGACCCCTGTGCTATACTATGACATAAAAGAGACCGCCAGTAATACGATCTGATTGTCAGCTCTCGACATCTGATCAATCAGGTGAGGGTGCGCAGGCAGGCAACTTGTTCTTCCTTTAAAGGAGGAATTTTGTTGAAATAACACTTTGTCACAAGCACATACCCTCTGTGTTTAGCTCTGTTGAAAAACAATGATACAAAGACTAGTTGGTGGTCGTATATAAGCTATTAACTTTAGCCAATATATAATATATTGGCTATAGTCTTATATCCATTTTTATGCTGTTACGAATGTTTCAGATTTCCATAGAGATACTGATCTCTGTCGGTAATTGAATTCAAAATAGTTGTCGTTTGAGGAGACTACAGAGAAACACTGATGCATTTGTTGACAGAGGGAACTAAACATGAATGTAGATTTAATATCAGTCTATTTGAACCTGAATTATGTTTTCTCAAGACTATATTTTGTGCATAATAATAATGAAACTACAACAATAATTTTGGGAATATTAGTAGAAATAGTAGTACTAACAGGCAAGTTGTAATAGGAGTAGAAGTATACAATAGTTATTTTAATCCTGATTATTCTTTTATTATTGTTATTAATAATAGTAGTACTAGTAGTAGTTGTTGTTTTGTTCTAGGCATTTGCATAACCTGCTTTTGGATCTTTTTGAGGCGAGTATTTAAATTAATTTCACGATGTAGTTTACCATTAGGATCTTAACATACCTTTAATCTATTTGTATGGATTTCCTGCCTGGATTTCTTACTATTACGGAGTCTGTGCTGAAATTTTTCAGCACATCAGGTCCATTTAACTGCATCTTTATACGTATAGGTGTGATTCCAAGTAAACAACCAGTAATCTACATTTGGTCCTATTAATTGCAGGTGTTGATACAGTCATTTTGTGCATATGTGTTTGGGGTGGAAGGGGTCTGATGGCATAGGGCAAGAGGTGTGGTGGGGGCCTCCAAATAACATTTACTTACTTTGGTCAGGGACAGCACTGTAAGGCACTGAACTGAACTGCTTTTCAAGGTTTTTGTTTTAACATGGTGCAAGTCATCTTCTGTGTCTGCCAGCTTCTTTAGCAAACTCTAAGCTTAGGCCTTGGTAAAGACACCAAAAAAGATTCAACTGCTTATAAGATACTGAGTTCTTGCAACAGAACCTCACCTCAAAAGCTCTGAACTACCCCATTAAGGTGCTTGGAATTGAATCGTTTTTCTCCCTGTGTCTTATCTCATCATGTCTGGTTGCAGGAGTCCTGTTGGACTCTTGTCTGTCCTGTAATCAGAATCACTCAGCAGCGTCTGACCCTTAAATTTACAAAGCTCTCCCGATGTTAGTCTGAGGGGTAATTACATCTGCTGGAGACTGAGGAATGTGTTTGTTACTCTGTCTCAGCAGAGCTCAGTTTCTCAATCTGATACTGCTTTATGTGTGTGTGTGTGTCCATGTTTGAACAGTGCTAATTGGTACTTCTGAGTGTTTCGAGTCCACCTCTCTGAGTGGCTTCTGTGTCACCACCTTCTCCATCTGACAGTCGATTTAAACCCATCCTCTGTGCAGCAGCTGCCAACGACATTATCAGAACCCCAAGGAGAATACTCCCAAAGGGTAATTCGCCCATCTCCTCTTGCACTTTATCTAAAAGCCTTCTTTTTAGAAGGTGGGGGAATCAGGTAGTGCTCCCTGGTGTCATTTAAATTCAGCCGACTTAAAATGCCATAGGGGCTGTAGCAATAAATACTGTTACATGAGCACATAAAAGAAAACTAAAAGACACCTGTGGCCTAATGAAGGTGGTTGATCCCAATGGAAAATCCGATTAAAAAATGCTTTTAGGAGAGAGTCGGCTTTTTCATGACATCCCTGAAGTGTTTTAAGTGACTTTGGTGGCAGCAGGATGCCTGCAGCAGATTTTCTGAATCTTTTTAATTATTATTTCTTGCTTGACAACAAAGATGAAACCTTGATTAGGAAGGTTTGCTTTAGCCTGAATGGATGCGTGTTTTAATCACAGGTCCTGGCTGCTTAATGAGGCCTGCTCCAGCTGGAGAGCTGTCGGTGCGGCCGCTTTGATCAGTGGCCCGTGGATGCAGGATTACATCGCGCTAATGGCACCTCAAGACAAACAGCACTCATGTCTTAACACTAACCCTGGTAGCCGCTCACTAAACATCAATACAGGTGTAAGAAATATGAGATGAAACGGAAACACATAATAACAGCAGGATCCATGGAACGGTGTATTTCTTGCAGTCTGGTGAGTCAGTCCCTGTTGTCCTACAGTATCTGTTCCTCCCTCTTTGGCTTGGCTGAAGGCTCTGCCAGAGAGGGCTCCATGAAAAATGTCCAAAACTCAGCTCTGACACTCAGCCCAACTCTAGAGACTAATGGCTGGTAGCTCCCAACATATGTTGTTTTGCGTAATTGCTTTAATTGCTGTCATTGTATGTAATGGTTGGGCTTTTTCATCTTCCCTGGTGGTGTAGCCATCCTGTTAATTATATCTGTCAGCTCTGCAGCCAGAAACTAGTGTTTCACAGCGGTTCAGAGCAGTGGGAACTTCAAAATCAGAGGCTTTGTATAAACTCTGTCTTTGTTCTGTCATCATGGGCCTTTGTCAGAATCAGGTAAATGTTCAGGCGTAGTAAGTTATTATTCTCTTTGCAGGTACGATACGATCACCAACACATGGGAGACGGTTTCTCCTCTTCCTAAGCCGGTCCATTCGGCGGCTGCCACTGTGTGCGGAGGGAAGATCTACGTTTTTGGGGGTGTGAACGAGGCTGGGCGATCGGCAGGTGTCCTCCAGTCCTACGTACCGCAGACGAACGCCTGGAGCTTCATTGAATCACCCATGATAGGTAGGAAATGGAAACATTTCTCCACATGCTTGGATTTCATTTCCCCCTAAGGAAACACTCTATTTAAAGGTTCTACATCATGCCGTTTTAAGACATCCAAAATCAATAATTTAGGGACAGATTATAAAGTATATGATGAGATATTTGCATTGGCACAGCCAAATTTTTATTTGTTTGGAAAAACTTATTTTCTGATAATATTTCCTTCCAACCGGAAGGAAAGCTGCTTGCCTTCGCTGCAACTCTGCCTTTCCCCATGAGAGTGTTGCCCATTTCCTCAGGTTACCCTAGAGCCACCAGCACACACACCAAACTTTGTAAACACTTTAGTAAAGGATGGATGACAGGTATGTTAGTTCTATAATTAATTCTGAAGTGAATTCTAAAGATGCAATTAAGTTTAGAATAAAGAAACAGGTACCATTTCTATCCAGAGGTTGGATTGGTGAGATGATTGTAATCTGAACAGACATTCTGTAGTTTTTTGGGGGGTTAGGAAACACAAATGAAAAAGTTATAACCTTACTCAGTCTTTACTGATACACAATAGGTTTTGAGCATTCCTGTAACCAGAAAGAGCCAAAGGATATTTAAGCAGGTAATCTCTCCGTTCGCTCTCTTTTTATGCACATAAAGCTGCAACAATAAACAGCAGAAGGAGCCTAGAGCTGGTAACTTGTAAATAATTTTCTGCCTTTATTGGATTAAAGTGTTAAAGTTTATTTCTGATTTTGAGGTGTTCATTAAGCTCAGTAAATAATGGGTGCATGCTTTTGAGAAAGGAAAGAACCTGGGGGATATTACTGAAAGAGTAAGAACCTTTTACGCAGTAGAATGTCTTATGATCTCCAGCCAGACTTCCAATGTGAGGTTGAAGTGCAGAAGTTATCAGTGAGACATTTCTGATTGGGAAATTGAAAGCTAAAATACAGAATATGTGTTTATTGTGTAGTATATTTTTTAGCATCTCATATTGTCAAGTTGTTCACATCCATAGGTGCTATTATGGAAATTGACAAACAATGCACAACGAGGAGAACAGATTTATAATTCACCAACTTGACATGACATTTTCTATTAAAGCAGTTTTATTTACTTAAGGCTCTGGCCTCTCCACTGGGTGGTTTATATTGTAGGAGTTTTAACGACTAATCTCCCAGACAATCTAATGCGTTTTAGGCAGAGGCTCACCTTGGAGTCATCAGTAAAGTGACCGTCAAAAACAAGAGCTTAAGGGTTTATGGTCTGCTCCCAAAAATCAAAAACCAACCACTTCGGTCGATTAGGCTCTGTCCTAGGAGGAATGAATGAGTCTGAGACCCCTCACAGCCAAAAAAACTTTTTGGCAGCATGGACTTTATCTACAGGTAAAACAAATAACAGTTGCTGTCACTGTGCAGATTAGGCAGTAAAGCAGAAATGATTGTGCTCCTTCTCAGCTGTTTAGTGGGCAGCAAAGGTGTGGTCGAGGAGGTCAAGAAGGAGCTTCTACTTAGAGAGCAGAGTTAACAGGGATTTCTGAGGCTTGCATGAATCAAGCAAAATAACTCTTTAGGCATGATTTGATGAATAACAGAAAAGTTAAAAAAGTTCACTACATGATATGGGCTCTCTCAAGTACCCCGATAAGCTAAGGTACTCAAGATATTATGGAAATGCAAGCTGTGTTTAAAATAATGTCTCAAAGTACAAAGGTTAGAAATAGAAACTGGCTGATGACCACAATCAGTTGATTTTTAACTTGGCCTAGACCAGGCAGTGCCTAGATGAAAATGGAGCAAATCAGACTTTAGAAAACATTCAGAAGAAGGTTCTGTTGTCTGATATCCTGAGACATTTCTGCAGGATTTCATTCAGCCTGCAAAATTCCAACAGAAAATAGGAAGGCTCAATATATGCTAGGAAACAATAAAATTGTATAAGCTTTTAGAAAATGATATAATTAAGTTTAGAATCTGCAGTATTCAGAAATAAATATGAGGGTGGGTGTTTTAATGGTACCATCTCTGCTTATGAATAGTATAAGATGCTAAATTTGTCTCAGTTTACAACAGTAACTATTTCATGCCATTTTTGTCATTTTAACACTGTCTTTACTAATACAATTTACTGCTATGGCAGTTTTTCAACACTTGAAAAATCATGTGATCATGTGTATATCATCCATATATATATATATATATATATATATATATATATATATATATATATATATATATATATATATATATATATATATATATATATATATATTATTTGTTACTTAACCTCTACATATATGTATATGTGTGTCTATTTGAATACAATTACATTTCCCAGAGGCACCAGCACATCAGAAAGGTAGAAAGTAGGTCTCTCAAGCCTAGCTTCAAAGTTTTTTTTATTTTTATTTTTTTCATTTATTTGTTACTTAACCTCTACACTACGTAGGTGATTTAGGAATTGGTCCAATTTAGAAAATAGCTGTATTAAGAATATTAACCTAGGCTGCATATAATATGTATAATATAACATACTGGGATTTTATCTATTTTAAATCCCCAGATCCTCAGCCTTAACTTGAAAAGTATTTGAAGTAAGGATAGTAATCTTTAGAGCACTGTTTTTCTATTCCTTCTAGTTAATATTCTTCCTTCGCTCAATGTTCTTGTAAAGTAAAATGTCCTAAACAGGGAAATGGTGCACAGTGCAACAGTCTTAGTCAGTCATTTTATTTCTTATGCACGCCTTGACTCATTCACATGTAAACTTTCACATTAGCGCGTAACACAGGCTCTCTGTCTCTCAATTACGGTTGCTTAGCAACAGTGTTCCCCTGACTTTCTCCACTTGAACACGTCCCGTTCCGTATCATATACTTGACTTGAGCAGCCGGCAACATAAACCCATCACAGCTGAGCCAAGGCATCTCAGAGTATGTACGTTCCATATGACTGACAGATTGAATCATTTTTGTGCTTTGAGAGGAGCTCTCAATGTGGCGTCATGCTAATGAAGTAATTCTCCTCATGCAAAAGTGAAGTGATGTGTGAATGCTCTGAGACCTTATGTTGATCAAATTCTTCCTTTCAAAGGTGTAAATAATAACCATAGCCACTTAGAACTCTTACAGATCAGTTCATGAACCTTTTCCATTTGTCTTTTCTTTTTCCCTGTATCATCGTAATTCTTCTCTGTGTTTTCCATCATTTTTTTCTCCGTCCACATTATTGCACTAGCTATGTAATGAAAAGACCATTGCAAAATGATAGGCGAGTCCGACCACAGCTCCTGACATGTTATTGGCCAAAGCGGCAACAGCATTACAGCCTGAGCCTCGGGGGACCTTTAAAGGATGCAGAGCCACAAGAAATACTCTAATCTAGCTCCCATAAGTCTGAGGCAGCTGGAAAAACAGTGTACACCTCGCTGTGATTCTCAGGTTTGCCAGATGTCTTTCCAAAGCAAAGATCTTATCCATGTGTACACTTTTCCACCATGACTGACTACTTTATACTCCAAAGATGTTGCACATAAGTGATTGTTATGGATTTGAACAAATTCTGAGAATCAATCTATCTGTATACTCAGGCATGAATAAAACATCACTCCACCAAACATTCTATGTGATGGACCAATAAGAAGATTATTGAGGGTTTATGAGGCATTATGTGCTTGGATATTTGTTACCCAAGATAAGTTCCTTTGCAGACTGCAAGTTCTTGCAGAACCAAGCTAACAAAAAGGCCATAAATCTATTGAAAGAGTGAGTGACTGATCCTTCCTTAGAGAAATAAACATATAACCTCCTTATTACAGAAACACTGAAATGCTCAGATGTGGTTCATTACCTTTGGTCAGAAGCAAGCTTTATGCTGTGTTGTTTACAGCTGCATGTTAAATCATACATACACTTTGAACATTACCACCAGAGACCTCGATTTTTTCACGCATAATTGTGACGTGGGAGGAATATGATACGTGATTTTGAACTTGTTTTACAAATCAAAATAAAAAGTGTGACATGCATATACACTCACCTTTAAAGTTGTGTCTATGAATAAAGCGGGAAAATAAAAACAAAAATGAGCTGTTCGGTCGATATAGAGGCTGCCCTGAAGCCAGAACCGTGCGCTTTTTACTTAAGAACATCCTGAAAAGACCACTGCCATGATTAAAAAGGATTGTTGTGAAACCATTATATTATATAGAGATATTTTTTAAAGCATGTACGAGCATGTAATTCATTTGCACATGTGCAACTAGAAATACACTGTGTGTGAATATTTCGACCACATCATCCTTTTCATACATATGTTGTGCAAAAATAAGGTCCTGCAGATAATGAATAGATGGTTAACTAGAACTGGAGTTATAGTTAATTATTATCCTATTCAACATCGAAGGCCAAAATCAATTTAGTGTTCTTAGGTGGATAATTATAGCCCTGAGTTATCTACTTACCGGTTGTTGATCCACAACTGGAGGGTTCCGGGACCGGCTGTTAAAATCCAGGTATCCACCAGTCTATTGGCCCCGGTTAAGTTATCAGCAAAGCTATTAAATTATCAATAAAGAACCTTCTATCTCTGTTTATTCGCACTATTACCAAAAGGAATCGAGTTTACTCTGAGTGATAAACCCTCCGTTATATGAACGACCAAAACCACTACAGATTAACCAATGATGTCTTTATTCTAATAATTCAGGATTACAGAAATCTAACATCTATGCAAACACTACACACTACTAGAAAAATAAACACGAGGTAGATTAAATGACTAGTTCAAAAGAAAAAGAAAAGAAAAATCGAAAATAAAGAATTAAACGAGATAGAAACAACGAAATAAACTATTACTGGCGTCTGAAATTGTCCAAAATATGCCAGATATTAATACATTCATTAATGTCCGCTAGCAGCAGGTATAGTGCAATTGATCAGTGTAAACTAATACATCCAACTTAAAATCAGCAAATGATTAAATGCATTAACAAGCAGCAGGTGTAATGATAACAGTGCA